ATATAAATCCCGAGAGCTCAATGTAAAATAAACAGAGCAAGTGATAATTAACAATTAGGAGACTTCAGAAATCCATGGTAATATTTTATTTCGCAAAATCGATAATTCGATTTCGCTTACTCAGACCTGGCGGTTTCAAAACAATGAATGGATTCAAAAATTCTTCCAGGAATCAAACGAAAACTAAGATTAACGGAAGCTGCGTTTTAAGATAGTTCCACAAAGTAGAAAGGGAAGGTTTAGGTATATGTCTCTAGTAGTAGAGTTGACCTTTTATTCGCTGGACAAGAGGAGGTAGTGGAGATGATTTTTTTAAGAATGGAACAAAGAAAAAAAGAAAAAAAGGAAACAGGAAAAGAAAAGTGTAAAACTAGAGAACGTACACCAATAGATATATATGTGTGTGTGTGTGTGTGCGCACGCGCGTAGATAAGAAGTTGAAAATGCAATTGGACTCATTAAGAATATTTATTTAGAGCAACTTTACAGGTTTCACTGTCCTATGATTATCAAAATTTAAACTGATTCACATGTCGTGTGCGAAATTCTGCTATAAGAGAATATTGGTTATCTCCAAAACCCATAAATATAAGAATCAGGGGGGGGACTTTCTACATAACATTGTTGGTGGATGCTGACAAATTCTCATCCTGACCAAGAAGGAATTCCAAAAAAAAAAGAATCCTATGTTTGGTCATTTGGTCAGATTGTGAGAATGTAGTGGGCCTCGAACATTTCAATATTAACCTCGTCCATTAACCTTCCATTAAGACAGTGGAGCATTACCACAGTATTAACACTGTAGGTTTTTTTTAAATATCTCATATAAAATATTAACTTCGGTGATCGTACGTAAATACGTAAATACCCTTTCGGGAAATTCACTTATGAATCCATTTTAATCTTTTCCCCCAAGCTATGGGATAAATAGTAGGGCTTGTATACGGAAAAATCATTGTTATTTTCAAAAGATTGTTAATGAAATATTCAATGGCAAAAAGTATTCTTACAATCCAAATATGTTTCGATTTTAAATAAGACATAAAATGTTGATAAACCATAAAAAAACAAACAAATGAACCCGTCAACAATCTCCATCCCAGATAGATATAACATAGGAGATTCCATATTTTACACATATTCTATTGTACTGTTCGTTGTAGTCACTTTACAGTATATCCTTTCAACCTCGGTTAGGGCTGTGGAGCATTATGACAGTGTTAGTAATGTAGGGTTTTCAAACACCCCATTTAAAATATTATAGATATATAAATTTGTTTTTAATTTTAGTTCTTAAAAAGTAATGCTGCCATACGAGAATAGTTGTCTTTTATGTGCCGTGTCCGTTCAGGACGTAGTCGAACATGGCTCTTCACATTTTTCTTTTTGTTATTTCTCCCAAAACCTGTTTTACCATCCATTTGCTCAAACTCATCAAGTATGTTACGGGCTGCTTTCCTCTGTCCCTCTTTCCCTTAATATGTCTTGTGAGTATCAGATTTTCCAAGCCCTCCTTTCTCATTACGTGTCCCAGAAATTTCAACTGACTCTTCCTGATGTTGAGTATAAGAATCCTTTTTGTTTCCATTTTCTCCCAAACCTCGTTATTGCTCACATTTTCAGTCCATGGTATCCTCAGCATCTTTCTGTAGAACTATCTCTGTTGCTTCAAGTCTCTTCCTCATCTTTGAGATTGTCCAGCATCCGCTGCCATACAGGAGGACGGACATCATGTAACAGTTCAACACTGTTTTCTTTGTTTCTAACGAAACTTTTCTGTCTCTTAATACTCTGCTCAGTTTTTGGAAGGCATCTTTGTCCATCCAAATACGTCTTCAGATCTCAGTGTCGCACTTTACATACTCCGTTAAAACACTTCCTAGATATTTAAATTTCTGTACTTAAGTATACACCAGATACCTGAGAATCAGGCAATGACTTTTTTACATATCATTGGTCTATAGATGTGTGTAAGTAAATGATAACACAGGTCTCTGCGGTGCGCTGACCAAGAAGCGATTCTAAAAATACAATCTGATATATTGCCATTTGATCAGCTTATGAGAACTAACAGTAAAATTTTCAGCTTCCACTTCGTATAGGATTCCGTTAGTAATGTGGCTCATTAGTTCCGTGAAGTTGGGCACTTCGGCGTGGTGTAATTGTTAGCAAGCTTGTTTTTGCTTGATCACTTACAGCTGAATTGTGAGTTCGATCCTCACTGGGTGCCACATTCTTTTATCTTTGTGCTACATCTGCGATACGCTTAGAAAAATTACAATTGGTACTGTGGAGTTTTCCAGCACCCTATTTAAAATATTAAATAATCTAGTTCGTAATCTGCTTGTTTTATATTGTTTTAGGTCTTCTTTATATTTCTTATAAGATAAATAAAAATTTTAAAAATGATTTTATTTTGAAAAATTGTATCAAAAATTCGGTATTAAAAAAATAAATTTGTAAGTTTCTAAAATTCAAATAAAATTCAAAAAGGTTTCATTTTATTTTCAGTAAACAAATAGAACTATTGCAATGAGTAAAACCTGAAACTTTTACTTTGTTACTTGAAAGAGATATTCCGAAAGCTAACTGACCAATCATAAAAATTTCACTTTCAAGATATTAAGAAAAATATTCCGCGGTGTGTTCAAAAACTCCACAGTATTAACGGAAGGTTAATGCTAGTGAAATTATGCAATACTGAAGAGACTCTACTATATAGACTTATAATACGTCTGTCCAGATGGTTTAAGTTATCAGTAATTTTTTTTTTTTTTTTTTTTGAGGAAGAGACAGACCTGGAGTTGAAATTAACTAAATCACTTCCGCCCACTATACACACACATACATATGTATAAGAAATTACTGGATTTATTTTTCATCCAAAGTTTTTATTAGTTCAAATAACGTTTGAAATAATAAAAATGTCGGATTAAAAATAAATCCATTAATTCTTTAGATATTACTTTGTTTACGTTTTGGATAAGAAACTAAATGGAAAAATAATCCGAGTGAAAAAAAAAGAGAATAGAAACTTGCTTAATGTGGCGGAGCGGTAAAGCATGTCGGATTAAACGGTGGTTTGACTTTACAGAGGGGGATGCAGGTTCGATACCTGTCGGAAATTTTTTTTTTTTACTTTGAACAGGCCGATAGATGTAATACACACCGTTTAATAAATAAAAAGGGGCATCTATTTCAAATAAGAAGTGGCCACTATAATAACGTTTGCAGTAACATATATAATGCTTTAATATATATATATATATATATATATATATATATATATATATATATATATATATACACACAGTGGGGGAAACAAATATTCGTACACATACAAATTTTTTAATTTATTTTATTTCTAACTAATGAATAAACATACTTTTCATATAATTAACTGTGCACAGATAAATAATAACTAAATATGCATAAAAACAGGAAAATGATTTAATAGAAATCGATATTTAATAATTTTAGAAAGTTTTCAAATATATATGTTCATCATCTAGGCTGCTACTTAATTCATGTTGTAGACACCTACTGGAGCACATTAGTGTTTCTTCAGCGCCCACAGAGTGTACTTGTGGTTTATACTTCAGCTATGCTGAGCGGGCCCACGTTAGGGTTCCAGGGAAAAAGCGCAAAAATCTTATATAGTCAACACTATGAACAAGGCTAAATCGCTTAAACCCTTCGTCACGATGTCTTGCGACTTCTTGCTAGCACAACTATCGGCGGCTCCCGAACAGTTTCGTCTCACTAATTCCACTTACAAGGTTGGATCAACCCATAATACGGTTTTCAGACACTTCCCAACACTGTCATATGGCTAAGATCGTCTCCCCAAGTTGATTTTACCGAGCCTTTTGACAAATCGATCATGGTACTAACGGTGGATTAATAAAATTAAAAGAAAGAGAAATATTTCTTCAATCGAATTATTTTGGTAAAAAAAAGAGATTACGGGTTATAATACGAAATGAAAGTGTAACGTTTATCAATTTGAAAATTATAAATGCCAGAGTGAATTCGAATTTCGATTGAGAATTTTATTTTTCACTTGGCATTAATTAGCTTGGGTAAGGCTTGAAACCATGTCTCACTTTGCCTTATTCCGTCACCAGGAATCTTAACATCATTACTTCAGAGTCGACAAGTGAGCACATCTTCAAATCACTCTCCAATAACCCCAAACCAATCGGTAAAAATAAATTGTTACACCCATTGTAAACCTTGATAGTGGCCAGCATTTGTACCAATTAGCGGTTACTCGCTTTTTCTATTTTTAATTTCTTTAACAGATCTTCCACATTTTATCTTTTTCACAAATGTATATCACTACCTGTCATCATTAAGAGACCCAAGGAGAAAATTAGCCAAACTCCAGTTCCGGAGATGTCCTATCCCCAAGCTGTAATTTCCCCATTGCACTTAATGCAGGGCAGTAGGTGTCAGCTCCTGATACACGAGCAGTCCCAAATAGCTAAGTACTGAAGAAAATTTGTCAGTTTCTGGTACCACCCACATATACGTATCCAGGGTTCTATATTGACTCTAACATTGTGATATTTATTTGCATGACTAAACAAAATATGGCACAAGGCCAAAAGGGGGAATGAGGGGGGGAGAGTACGGTCTTCTTCTGTCTTAAAATTAAACTTAGCTACCCACAAACACTGACCCAAACATACCACAATATTCCCAACACCAAAACAACGCATTCTTACTTTTCTTACTACATCCACCATCATACCTCATTGTCTCTATGAAAGTACTAATTAATTTCCATAAGTACAATTCATAGTGTCAAACATATGATTGAGGGGACAAGCTACATAATGGTGATACCCAAACGTACAAATAATACAAATAACAAATTTCATGATCAATATTTTCAGAAAACCCCAAATTGTGAGATTCTCTTTATAATACATATAAGCTGGTCAAAAATATGGAAGCTCGTTCGGGAGCAAAATAAATTTTATATTAAAACTTACCAAATCATCATTGCCTTTCGTCTGAGAATGCAAATAAAGAAGAAGCCGCTCTTTCATCTCGTTCATAGAAAAGGCTCCAGCCGTACAAATATCAAGAGTGTCCATGACGTCCAATACGTGACATATATTTTGGGAGCTCGGAATCACTTCCATAATCCTCTGACATCTTTCAGTCAACGATTCGTCGTCATATACATCGAGGTCAAGGATCTTTAAAGATTTGATTATAGCCTCGACAGATATATCACAGAAGACATTATCAGAATCCATGGCGTTTTAGTTTGGTCTTTCGGTCGTTAATAAACTGGGTTCACTTGGAACGTCTCTGAAACAGAACAAGAAGAAACAATGTCCTAAATAAGTCAACGAATTCGTTTCTTAATGATGCCCATTAAAACTATCCATGTAAAATTCTTTGTTAAAGACAGGTAAATATTAGCGACGTTAACTGATCACTCGACATAGTGCAATGATAATAATGCACATCGCCCAGAGAGTGCAAGATGATACAATATTCTTTTCTGTAGTTTAAATATATTCACATTTAGGTTGTGTTATCTCATTGAAGTTTCTGTCTTATATAGAGACAAAAAATTCAATTTTATGATAATTCCTATTTTTAAAGTGTTGATAAAAATTAGGACACTTAATAAAGTTACTGTTCCTTGTGAACCTATGCTTGTCAGGAAAAAGACTGCAGAGACAAGGTAAAAGTATATAGATATAATGTCTTTTGATTGGTGGATGAACTCGAGTGAGTGAAATGTGGGCGTGGTTTCATAAGGCATGAGGAAGATAATGGATAAAAATGATTGGACGAAATGAGAGCTTCTTAATGCGTAAATTAAGAAAAAAAACTGTACGAGAAAAAGAAAGTAACAATTTCATAAATCAATCCAATTGGCATGTGAATTGGCCTGGAAATGCTTAAAAACTTTTGTGAAAAGAAAACGAAAAGATATATAAAAACAACTTATGAAAAAGGACCGGTTAAATTTGGCTGGTTAGACAGGTAAATCTCTCACATCGAACCAGAAACAATACGATTTATAAATCAATGCAAGAGAGCATTACTTCTTCTTTAAATAGTTTGGCACTCATAATCAATTAGCAATAAAAATTATCATTGAAATATTGGAAGTGTTTTTTGAATAGGAGTAGAAGTTTATCTCTTGTTCTTTTTTCGGGGTGGAGTTTCCGTTTCTTTCTTTCATTCTATTTCCCTCCTAGAAGACCCTTGCGTCTTAGTAGTATTATCGCCTTACTTGCTGTGAATCGATTAAAAAAACATGTTTTATGTGCTGTGTTCATTCAGGGTGTGGACGATCATAGCTTTCCGCAAGTTTTTGTTTTTTCTTGTTCAAAGCAACGTTTTTACCATCTGTCTTTATCTCAGTTCTGTCATCCAAAATAATTCGGTAGCCTACTCTCTGGTTTTTTTGTTTTTTTTCTGGCTCTCCTTTCAATGTTTTTTTTTTCTGTGAGTCTTAAATCTTCCAAACACTCTTTCTTCATAATGTGTCCCAGAATTTATTTTATTTTCTATAGTGCGACTAAAATGAGGACGAAAATGAACGATAGAGGAAAATAATCACCTCTGGTATAAACTGCAAATGCTTAAGAGAAAAATCTGAAAATACAATTTTGGTAATACTTAGAAAATCGTCGAGGCAACGAACAGTGCTTATCCTGATTAGATCATCGCCTCTAGTAAATAACTTCTTAGTTTTTGAGAAGCTTATTTCAATTCCATTTTAAATATACTGTTTTAATGCACATGGCCATATTGCTACAAATTAGGTGAAAGAAATCAATAATACATAACAGGATTCACATCCATTTGAAGAATTCTTTATGTGCTGTGTCCCGTCAGGATGTTGCCAATCATGGCTCTCCACAATTTCCTGTCATTTATAGCTCTTAATAAATTTTCTTTTTGTTATCTCTTCTAAACTTTGTTCCATTCATTCAGTAAATTAAGTTCGCTAAATAGCTCATGTGTTGTTTTCATATGTCCCTCTTGCCTTCAATGCTCTGTGGATTTCAAATTTTCCAAGCCTTCTTTCCGCATTATGTAACCCAGAAATTTCAACTTTCTCTTCCTGATGTTAAGTATAAGTATCCATTTCGTTTTCATTTTCTCTAAAACTTCACCATTGCTCCCATGTTCGGTCCATGATATTCTCATCACCCTTCTGTAGACCACAAATCTCTTCTTATCTGTGAGGAGATTGTCATGCATTCACTCCCATATAGGAGGACTGATATTGCGTAACAGTTCAGTACTCTTTTCTTTGTTTCGAATTTTTCTGGGGTTATTTTTTAATACTTTGCTTTGCTTTTGGAACGCGTCTTCGGCTATCCTAATGTGCCTTCGGATTTCAGAGTAGCACCTTCGGATTTCAGAGTAGCACCTTCGGATTTCAGAGTAGCACCTTCGATCCTCTGTTAAAATACTTGCCAGATATTCAACATTTGTCAGTAGAATCACATCGATGTGGCTTCAAGTATCTATGAGGAGGTTGTCTCATTTTCACTGCTATGGTTAAATAACGTGCCGTGATTAAAATTGTTTTCCCATGCTGTGAGACAATTTCCATTGCGATATCTCAAACATCTAAATGTGCTCCCGCACACTGTGGGATCGCAAGCGAACATTTGACGTTTTGTGTACATTTCCCAGGTGATATGCGCTATATCCAGTCTGAACGTAAATAATTCCAGAACTTCAGAACTGGTCTTTTGTCCTAACTTCGAGTATTTGTCAAGTTATGATCAGGTGAAATTAATGGAAACACGCATATGTTTAATAATTTATTTATAGAAGATCAGTTCTGGATAGTTGTTTTCCTAATAGGAAAGTCATTAGAATCTTGTTTAAATGAATTTTATAAGTGACGCGCACGTTTAATTTGACACTTTTTTTTAAGGAAATGACCTATACAAAGTGGATTTCAGGGCCCTAGAACACAAGATTCAGTCAAATTAAAACAATTTTTGCCATATTTTATCAGCTTTTTGCCTGCAAACCCCAACTTCGAATAACGATGACGAAAATAGCTGAGACGAAGTTTTTGTCCTTTTTAGTGTAAGTTCCCAAATATTGAAACAGTTTAAATCTGAAAAATATAAGAAAATTATCCTAAGGAAGATGTATAAGATGTACTCAGTTCCTTTCAAATGTTAAATCAATCATTACCTCGTTTTGGTACCATAGTGTTTTGACATAACTTTTCTTTATATTCATCAGAAAATTATGATCTAAACCACTATTCTTATGTATCTTTTAGGTGCTGAATCCAATTTTAGCACTGAAAATCCCCCTAAAAGAAGTTGAAGTGGGTTAAATGAAAATTGGAATCTTGTTGAAATATGTGATTAATGACAGTCAGGTTTAACTAGAGACCCGACAACACAAAATTCAGTCACATTAACCATGTTTTACCTACATTTTTGTAACTAACCCCCAATTTTGAACAATGGTAAAAAAAAAATGGAAGCATTCTTTCCCTATTTATACAAAATAAAAATACACATTAATTCCAAGATCTCTGCACCATCAAGAGAGTCTATGGGGACGTCAAAGCCGTTGTCACGCGATTTTTTGCTCTATGGTTCACCATTCGAGATCAGCACCAACTTTCTACACTGCTGAATAACTTCAAAAACCTCAGGTTTAATCGAAATAAACTGCCTGGCAAAACATTATGCTTCAGACAAGCCTTCTTCTGTGACAGATGAGTAATAGTAGCAGATATCGTACTTGATGAAGACCAATTTATCTTTGCTTCTGATATTTTTGAACCAGTCAACATACTTTTTGCTACTCAGCCACTGGTTAATCTGCGTGGCTACACGAAGCGAATCACAGATTTTTGGGTGATGATACGGCTGATAGTACCAAGTCATATATATATATATATATATATATATATATATAAAAGTGAACATTGAAGTCAACACTAAGAGGTGACAGGCTGTTTCATGCTGAACGCAAACGGAATATATAGATATATATACGTGTCGATTGCGTCCAGCATGAAACAGCCTGTCGCCTCTAAGTGTTGCCTTCAATATTCACTTTTTATATTTATATTTATATTTACATACGCTCTATCTCGGATATTGAGCAGTTTATCCCATAAATATAGCACACCTTAAAACTATATTCCTTCAGATATGTGTATATATATATATATATATATATATATATATATATACATTTACATATATAAATATATGAGTATATATATAGCTATATATATGTGTGTGTGCATATATGTATATATCTGTGTGTATATATACATATAAATGTTTGCATATATATATGTATATATGTGTATCTATTTATATATATATATGCGTATCTATGTATAAATAGAACTATATATATATATAAATATGTGTGCATATTGGTTGGATTGATGTGAGTTTGTGACCCTGGGTTTCACGCTAATCAGTTTGTCTGATGATCGCTAAAGCGTGAAACCCAGGGTCACAAACTCACATCTATCCAGCCAAATACGTTAGATCTATCTCTGATATTGTGCGTTTTCTAATAATTCTATACATAATTATTCATATATATATATATATATATATATATATATATATATATATATATATATATATATATATATTTTATATACACACACTTTTACATTATATATATATATATATATATATATATATATCAACATATATATAAATACAATATAGGTGTACACATATATATGTAAATGTGTATATATACTTATATTAATATATATGTAAATATATACACATAAATATGTATACATATATATAAATATACGTATATATAAATATGTGTACAAATATATGAATATGTGTATATTTATATACATATATAAATATGTATACATCTTTATATTTTATAAAAAGGGGACATCTGTACATATATAAATCTGTGCATATTTATATGCCACATGTATTATATAATAAATTTATTAAAACTTTACATATATATAAATAAGATTCCATGTTTATTTATATACAGATATAAACATGCGTTTCATATGCAGATATATAAATATGTGTATATATATAAATATGTGTCTATATATATCAATATATAAAATATATGC